CTCTCCTTCACATTTATGGAGCACCAAAAATGCTGATACAAATGAATTTTACTGTGTAATACTGTTTCTCATTTCATTTAGACGGGAGCTGTGAGTGTGACGGGTGTGGTGAACTATTTTTAAACGTTGCTCACATTGTGAGAAGCTCTTTTGTTTCAAACACTTTGTACTGGATTATCATATCTGTTCATGAAATGTTGATCGTATAGTATTTTTGCATAAAAGTACATCTGAACTGTATCAGTTCTCTTCTACCCGTGCAGAGGGAGAGCATTACTTCGTGCAGAAGCGCTATAACCTGGTGAGTCACCCGATGGATCAGAAAGGTTTTATGTACACCCTTATTCGGTCTTTGGAGGTGGAGGCCGCGAAAAAAAAAAAGAAAAAAATTCATTTGTATCAGCATTTTTGGTGCTCCATAAATGTGAAGGAGAGACGTAGGTAGTCGATATGACGCATAAAATGGTTTTGCAAGCGTTTAATATAGTTTTTATAAAAAAGCAAAACAAGCTGGCGCACAAAGGACTCGAACCTCCGATGCCACGCCTGCTAGTCCGTCGTCCTCCCAACTGCGCCATCTGTGTACGTTTTGTACTGCTTGGTTCTCGTATAAAAGCGAAGAAGTTACAAGAGACCTGGGGTGAGGGGACCTGTAACTTTGTTCCCAGAACCGTTTCGCAGATTTGGAATTCAGATTTGAGATCAGCGTTCGAAACTACCTACGTCGGTATACATCTTATCTTAAATGGCCACTGCGACTTGGTATCCTTTCCTGGTAAGTGGCGCACGACTTGTCTGTACTTGTCTTAGCCAGGCAATGGAAATTCACATATTCCAGATTTCACTAATAGCAAGCAAAATTACTTACTATCCCCGATTCTCCCTTTCCTACAGCCTTCTAGACATTTAGGTGGCAGTTTCCTGTCGTCGCGTTACAAGTGCTTTGAAGCTGTTTCTATATCGCTAAGAGGGAGCAGACAGGCAGAGCACCACTCTGTCGACTACTCTTCTCATTCACCAACATAATACGCTTTTGAAGTTGCCTCTACGCTTTGGCTTCCAAAAAGTGCACCTCGTGGAACATCTTCCAAAAAGTGCACCTCGTGGAACATCGCGTCAAGCCGGCTGCGCCCGCCAAAACGCTCATGTCCCACGCGGCCAAAAATCCAAAACGCGCGCTGTCGCGCAAGAACTGGCCACAGCAAACAAAAATGAAAATAATTGCTTACCGCTACCACAACCGTTGTCTAGGACGACAATCTCTATACCTTTCCCCTTCCCCAGCCTTGGGATGTAAGGAGGCCTCTAAGCGATATGGGGGACAGTGAAGGGGTAAAGCCGGACCACGAAAAAGCGTGGTCCGCAGCTACTTCGACCAATGGCAACAGCGATACCTTGTTTGACTGTCTACTTATTTCCTTGTCTTCTGCCCTTTATTGGCTTGATGGCATTCATTGTCTTCTTATTACTGTTGTGACGTTTCACAATATGAATATTAATATTATACACCATTGAAGCACTCCGACAACCACCATGGCCCAGGGCATTGAGCTGTCTGATTTTTCAACATATATGCTCCGTTGTAAATAGTGGAACGGGGGCGGGGGAATGCCTTCAAGACAAACCCATTTGGCGCTGGTCCTGCTGCGTTTACGCAATTGCATAGTGAGGTATTTGGATGGGAATGACTCTAGACGCAATTTGAGGCTACAAGTTAGTAAAAAGCAAGAATGGACCCGAGGATGAAACACTGCTTTTTTCCCATGACACAGGGCCAGGAGCTTTCCTACTGCTTCTTGATATCCTCTCCTACATAGCTTGTCATACTCATAGCTTTATCATGAGACTGTTCTTCGGGAATTAGAAAACCGCAACCTAATGTTCACCGCTCTAATTGCATTGGTCCCCAATTGATCCCATTTTTAAGCTCGTCCGGAGTAGGGTCTTCAGTGAATAGGGTCACGTCAAAGCATGAACGGTAATCAAAGCCGAAAGCAATCATTAAAACCCTAGCAAATTGTTTTTATTACAGGACTATATCTCTAAAGTGGGTCCGAATGAGCAGGAAATCCTCCAGCACTTCCTGGAAGTAGGTGAGTTACTTTTCTGCACATTCAAATACGGTGCGAAGCCTAACTTGGTTTTACCTCTTCTCGGTACGTTTTCGCACCTAATCGAACCATTTTCGAGTCCCCAGAAGAGTCCCGCTATTTCAACGACTACGGATTCGATCCCGAACAATGTATATAATGGCGCTTGTCACTACACCACCTCCGCCCTATCAAATCTTCTGTAAACGCAGGCCATTTTTCTGAAAGTATAATCGCTAACTGAACGTTCGAGGACCACTTCATTATTCTGAGTGCTCCAGAACCCTTTTCCGATTCTTTTCTATTCTTAGCCCTGCGAGTGTGAAATATTTTGAACTTAAGCAAATTCCAAAGGTAAACCGGCTTATAAAGAAATGAAATAAAAAGCTTTGCTGAAGGGATCAAAATGAGCCATCCGCTATGGTGTCACCAAAACTAGACCATCGCAAGCGAAATTTCGCTGGTCGTTGAGCGAAGGTTGTCAAGAAGACGTGCAGGGGTCATCCGAGGTGATTTGATTTCCGCACAGCAATCGTTCCTGGATATCGTCGCCAATTGAATTCCCAAAAATGCGTTTGTGTTAAAGTTATTCTCCATCAGTTATCAACTTTGAAATTGTCTCTGCAAAGAGAGAAGGGCACAAACGGGTTCCTCAATGAAGAAAATCTACAAAGTAACCTTTTTTAGAGAGCGTGCAGGATGCGGAACAAGAGTACAAAGATTTCCTGTATGTCGTTTTCTTCTTAAACAAAATATCGGAGACTGATGTTGTATGCATTCTACCTATGCTACGCCAATTTAAGGGCTACATCGTCATCCACACAGTCTACTACGAAAAGGACAACAACTACTACCACAACAGAAAGTACAAGTAGAAGAACCAGAAGAACTACCACTCCAAGAGCACCTCCAAGAAAAACAACTTCTACAACAACAACAACAACTACTACTACTACTACAAGAAACCCTGCTGCTGTTAAAACTGATAAGGGCGCTGACAGTGGTGCTGGTATTGGTGCCGGAGCTTCTACGAGCAAGTCGGCTTCTACCTCTGGCATAACGGATAACCAACTAGCGGTAAAATTGGTAACTGACAAAATAGCGGTACGTTTTAGCATTCAGTCGAGTTTTTGAAGCAAACGTTACAACGGCTTCCTACCAATTTTTATGATTCATAAAGATTTATACCACGTAGGACCACATTTTGCCTAGCTATGGCGCTCCTCTATCTGTCTTCGAAGTTGCCCGTAAAGTAATACAGGAGCTGACCTATGTACATATTCTGCAGTGGCTATTAGTAACCGTACGCCTTTAGCCCCGTTATGCCTGTTTTTCAAGAAACCTGTACATCCTGTCAGGGTGTCCCAGAAGTTGAAAAAATTTTGGTCATGGATTTCTCAACCATGTAGCGCAAGAAAGCGCCGAAGCAGAGCCACGAAAAAAGGGCAGAAAAAGGGCACTCTTGGTAATCGTCAAACAGTATTGCACTTCATCTTTGGAAAAGAGTTATCGTCAATTGAATAATGTCCGACCGACACGACTACCGGCGCCTTGTTTCATAACTAGCGATCTGTTCACTCCGCCACTCAAGCCCGGAATGAATTACAGTCATCGATGGGCAGTACTGCACCTTCTCTCGCCACCTGCTATAGGTGATACGGTCGCTCCTCTAGAGGAGAGACTCACTTCGACGAAGCGCCACGGAGCGGACACCCACGTCCCACCAAGACCGACATTGTCTTAGCCTCNGTCCAAAGCAACCCTTCTCAAAGCTTGAGAAAAATGGAGAGGACGACATCTGCTCCCCGTTCCACTATCCACGACATCCTCCGCAGACGTCGCTTTCGCGCAGCACTTCCTGCAGTTATCCCCCACACCTTGACTGAGAGCGAGCGTCAGGTGCGGGTCGATGTGTGTCGGAAACTACTCGACCGCAAGCGAACGATGGCCTGGACGAGCTTTACATCGCTCAGGATGAGAAGTGGATTTCTTATGAAAGTCCACACAGGAGGTGGCTACCAATCGACGTAAGGCCAGAAGTCGTTGCAAAGCGTGGGGCACACGTCAAAAAAGAGATGATCTCGTTCTTTTTTTGCTCCGCCGGCTGTTTTTACTATGAGATCCTACCTAAGGGCACTGCTGTGACTGCAAGAGTATTCTGTGGACAGCTGCGGGAGATGACTCGAGCCCCGGTTTCGCACCGAATGCAGGGAAAGTTTATGATTTTGATAGACAGCGCTCGACTACATCATGCTAGGGCGAAGGGCAACGGCTGAGGAGCTGGAAAGGCTTGGGATTACCTGGCTACCCCATCCTCCGTATTCAACTGACCTTAGCCCTTGCGATTACCACGCCTACAGAAGTCTACAAGCTTACCTCAAAGGGAAAAAATTTCATAACCGTCAGGAGGTCAAAAGTGCAATAGATGAATGGAACGTGTCGCGCTGCTCTTTCTTCTGGATGAATGGCATCGGTGCACTGCCCAATCGAGGGAGGGACGTCGTGGTTAAAGGGGGTCATATCTCGATTACGGATCTCACCTTTTTGTTGTAGTATTTTTGCGTTGAATAAACCAAAAGGTTCAGTGAGGCCTGTCAAAACGACGAGTCCGTCGAAACGTTGGCCATAATAAAGATTTCCACCTAACAACCTCGAGGCAGAAGAAAAGTTAACTTTTACAAAAACCAAATAGATTTTCTCAAAATTTTTGAGACACCCCATAATTTAAAGGCACAGTTCACGATAATTTTGGGTAATCCAGTTTATGATTAAAAATGGAAGGCAAGATCGAAAATGGTGCGATGAAGGTGAAGAAACTGCGTGAATAAATGCTTCCGAAGTGAAAAAAGGCTCCGAAAAACCGTTAAAAAGGGGGCTGGACGAGAACAAGACCAGAAAAATGCAGAAGAGTGGGGCGTTTGGATGAGTGTCTCACTGCGTACGTATGGGTCCTGGTGCAAATATCTGACTACGGTAAGCAAAAAACTGATCCGCTTATAAGCATGCGTGAACAAAAAACCCCTAGTTACAGTGAAATCAGGTCACCTTTTTCGGCCTCTAGGAGTAGGAAATTAAATAAGGCACGGCAGCAAAAAGAATAACAGAGGAAAAAAAGATTGGCAGAAAAACATCGCCTTATCACTCGGCGATCATCTGATTGTGTGTGGGTTCTAGAACGAATATTCGCGATCTGCATTGCCTCGACCCTCGTCTAACATGTCATCGATCGAGAGGCGGGAAAGCGAATAAGGATAGCAACAGGGCTCCAGCTATGCCCTGACCGTCGAAATTATGGGAGCGAGAGGGACCCTTCTACCACTCATGGGGGCCGCTGAGTATTCCTAAGGGAAGAACTCAGCAACCATTTTTACCGTGAACCGTGCCTTTAAAGTCTTTGCCGACTGTCGGACCACCTGAGGGGAACCGACGGAATTGGGCATCCATACTTGTCCCAATCCCAACTCCTCTCGCTGTCATCTCCCGAGAAATCAAGGCGGTAACCGGGTTCATGGCTTAGATGTCAAGGTCAAAGTCCATTTGCCGGCTCATCCCGCTGATGAAATGTGGATATTCTCGTTGTTGGTAAGTCAAATAGGCGATTTTCTTGTTAACTATTACTGATGATTAGATGGTAATTCCGGGAGCCCCCTAGTGTTCCTTGATTGTTTAGTTATGGAATACATTGAAACGTTTTTGAATTTATATAATTTTTTTCGAATTTTCGTTAGCTAAATCCTCTGTTCCATGTCAGCAGTTGCCCAACTGTTGTCCCTGTTGCAGAATAGAAACAAGGACGACGAAGACAATGGATCAGGCGGCTTCCCAACGTGAGTTTCATGATAGGAAAATAACATCGTTTAGGATTTTGGGATAAACCAGGAACAGTGTTAAGTTGGTATAATCCGTAGCATCGTACATCCAGAATTGCCCAAAAAGTCATTGGCTGCAAAACAGACCTAGGAGAATACTTGAATGACTGATTGAACTAATCATGTCGCTTTCGTCGTCGTTGATATGATCGAGAAATCGTAAGAGCGGTTTAGAGGTAATGCTCAGAGCTAGACGCTCTTGAAATCTTGAAAGCCATTGCAGGCAAGGAATACGTACACATCAAACACTGAAATCGTATTAAGAGGATGTTCAAAGGACCCTGAAAGCGCAACATTAATATTAGTTGATATTCGAGGTCTTGCGATTCCGGTCTCCAGGCGTGTTCCTACGACTGTTACCGCTCCCACGGTAGCGCTAATTGTAAGAAGAGTTGAGACTTTTCTGGCGGGACCACAGCGCCCTCCCTGCCACTATATCTTGAAGTCGGTCGAACTGGCACGACGCATTGGTTGGATGTGTGATGCAGTAGGAACGAAATTGTCGCACCCCAGCGAGAGCGACGCCGCACGCGAAGGAACGTAGCAGAACGCAGCAGCAAGTAAGAAATTCAGGAACAAATGAACTAATAGTAGAGCCATGCCATAAGTAATGATCGCATAGCGATTGAGCTGTATGAAGAACGCTAGAAGTATTACAACGAGGCAAATGGTCCGCGACAGCCGCGTGCGGCAGAAAAAAAAATTAAAACCCCCTTCCCCCCCCCCCCTCCCTCCCTCCACCAAGAAAACTGGATCAAGAATTTTGAGTGGTCCGATGGTTCATCTAGCCAATAGTGCTACTTCACAACGAGACCTTTCTATACCTTGACGATCGCCATTCAAGCTTGTAATGTACTAAGCATTTCAGGATGCTCGTGGTTTTCATAGTGCTCGCTATTATAGTGTTGCTCGCCATTGCCGGCGTTGGTGCTGCTTACTATTACTTCGAAATTTACAAAAAGGGAGAAGTGAGAATCACCTTTTTTCGCTTCGGCTATGTTCTTTAGTCTCTATATGAGTATTGTAACTGTCATTCAAGGCTGATTTCTGGTGTTCAACAACTTTCCCAATGTAGCCTCTCGTCGAGGCCGCCCCAATGAACGCAACTCTCCTTTGTTCATACACTATGTCATATCAAACGCAATCGTATAAGTCTCTCTCTTGGAGGCTCCAACGGCCGGAACAGAACTCACCAGTCGCCGCTTAGGGAACGGGATGGGTAAATCTCATGAGCGGAGTCCACGTACAGAACCTTTTTGGTTACCCCACTCCAATATCAATGGCGGGTACATGGCGTCCTTTTTATACCTCATTAGTTGATCGTTCCTTTCCCTTCAAACTCATTTCCCCAATTAACTCAAATTCTCGAGGCATGATCTAGCATTTTTTAGGAACGCAAGAAAAAAGCCAAAGGACATAAAAGGGGAGCAGGTGGAAAAGCAGGAAAGCATAAAAATAAACATAAGAAGAAGAAGGAGGGTCATGGAGGAGGAAAGAAGACTAAAAGGGAGAAGACGGAGAAGACGAAGACGGAGAAGACGAAGACGGAGAAGACGAAGACGAAAACTGAAAAATCAAAAACGAAAACATAATTCCCTACACACCCCCTACACATCTACTAAACATTCTACTCGACTGAAGATAATCATTCAGTACCATATCTGTCTAAATAAAGTTAAAGTCCCCAAATGGATATTGGTCATGCATCATATCACCTGTATCACTTGTCGTCCCATTGATCATCCATATCCTCGAGCTGGTGCCAGTAAAGTCTCTATTCCTCGAGCGGGTTTCAGTAAAGTCTCCATTAGTCTCTTCCGCAGTGTGAGATGGTCCAGTAAATTGTCCTTGCTTCAAGCACACGACGCTCAGCATTCCTTTCGTTCAGAGTTTCGTGATGAAGTATGACCGTCGCGACCTGGTGCTCGCTTGACATCCAGAGAGATCCAGTCAGTAACCGCCCTGGTCCAACGGTCATCACCATATCGTATGAAATGTCCGACCCACCTGATCTTCGATTTTGGCAAAATAATCCTACCCTCAGCCGCAAAGCTTAGCATTCGCGTCATTGAAATTGAAATCAGTCATTGAAATTTTCCGTCGTGAAAAGGGCTTGTAGGGATTTTCGACGGGATCGAAGACCACCCACAATCTTCCACAAAGATCTGTTGCTTTTGTCTTATATCTATCCCGTCTCCCCTATTTTTATCGGCCTTTCTTCCTTCAACAAGTGGAGCTAACACCCAACATAAGGGAGGACATTTTGATAGTATAAGTGCGAAACGGATTGCTTTATTCAATGAGTTAAAAAGTGGCATAAAGTTACTTTGCAAGATCAGGTCTTCTAACCTGAAATGGTTCTGCCAGAAGGACATGTCAGAAAGGGAGGCGGGGCAGTTTTCGAGAGCACCAAGCTTTTGCATAATCCTTTCATTCGCTGAATCGTTTTCTCCTCACTCTTGACGTGCTCGGTGCACTTGATATGTGAAAAAACTGTGGCAGATCTTCACCGTCAAATGAACTAATTCTCTTCATTAAGAGGAATAGGTCACGATGAGGCAATGTTCTTGTAGAGGGTACGTAGTGGTTGTAGAGGAACACATGAAAGTCTAAGGGGTAATGTGGTAACCGAGTGGTTGCGTTGAATTTAGTTTTGTAGTAGAAATCAGCTGCTTCCGTCCGATTGTACTCTGCTATAACACAGAGGTGTTAAAGTAGCAAGTGGGGCACACTTTCACAAGCATGGCCACTAACAAATCTCTGCTCAATACTTAGTCGACCACGACTTCCATCCCTCTGACTTCTGAGATATGTTAACTGGTACCAAGCTGGTCTGAGAGGATAAGTCTGACTTGTACATCGGCTGGCCACTGTGACCCACTGTAGAGAATACAATTGTTGGACTAAATGCGCCACTACGACTTTACATAGAGGTTGAATACAGGACGCATTCCAGGAACAGCCTCGATTTCTACGAAAAACTTTGTCTTTACTCTACTTCAAAGGGCCCTTGATAGAGAACTAAGTTGGGTTCTGAGGAATCATATCATCATACATTCGCAACAATTTTGATGGGCTGTTACTATCACTTGCCAATTTTCATTAATTGGTTTTTATTAACCAGTCGGTTGGCTCGGCTAACGCCGAGCTTCACTCTTTCTTCGGCAAAGTTGTAGTAATCGGCTAACTCTCCACTAATAGGGCAGTGCAAATGGTGTTCAGTGTAGGTCGGCGCTTACGCCTTTGATTGGTACGTTCCTAAAAAATGCTAGATCACGTCTCGAGAACTTGAGTTAATTGGGAAAATGAGTTTGAGAGGAAAGGAACGATCAAATAATGAGGTATAAAGTGGACGCCATGTACCCGCCATCGGTACTGGACTGGGGTAACCGAAAAGGTTCTGTACGTGGTCTCCGCTTATGAGATTTACCCATCCCGTTCCCTAAGCGGCGACTGGTGAGTTCTGTTCCGGCCGTTGAAGCCTCCAAGAGAGAGACTTATACGATTGCGTTTGATATGACATAGCGTATGAACCAAGAAAAGTGCGTTCAATGGGATGGTTTTAACGAGAGACTACATTGGGAAAGTTGCTGAACACTAGAAATCAGCCTTGAATGACAGTTACAATACTCATATAGAGACTAAAGAACATAGCCGAAGCGAAAAGGTGATTCTCACTTCTCCCTTTTTGTAAGTCTTGATCTTTTGCTATCGTCCTTCAAAGTAAATACCCATCAAAGACTATCAGCTATTGTTATTAAATGTTTTGACCATTGGTCCCTTTCATGAATCGAAGCCTCGGTTCATGGATGAACCCATTCTTCTTGCCAACTTCTCCATGCTTAGAATTAGACAACGTCTAGGCGTTTCCTATTGGCATCGAAGGACTTGACTAACTGGCTCTTCCTGGTTGATCGACCGCAGCACAAATCAGTACCCTCTGAGGTCAACCGAGCCCGTCAGCTTTTCGATTACCAGACCCGTTGGGAGGAGAGATGCAAAGCACTGACGGCGACCCACTGCGTATCATTCTACCAATCGGTTCTCCCGGCTAACGCCGGGCTCCCCTCCTTCTTCGGCGAAGTTGTAGTAGTGAAGTAGCAGGGCGGAGCCCGGCCCTGCTACTTCACATAAGTATACCCATCTTGCCCCCGTTCTCCCACCGAATTTGAACGCTTTAGGTCCACGGGAACAGGAGTTATGAGTTTCCGGTCAGACACACACGCAGACGCAAACACACCGTCAAACCAACAGACACACTTAGCGAACTACATATAGGGGGATTTTCCTTACTGTTAGACCTCGTTTTTGGGTTCATATCTTTTATGCCTCCTGTTTTGAGTCATAAGAAGGAATCCAACTAAGCCTTGGTCTTTGAAGGCACTGTAGTGATACGGTAAGGGATGTGGAGGTTCTCTTATGGAAATCTGGAAACTAAGGCCAACCACTGGAGAAGAAAACCAAGAACATTGACAGCTTTATAGAACTGATCCGAACCGGTTTCTAGTAAATGAGTTTCTACCTAAAGTGTGTCTTTAATCACTGGAGGGAAGACTTGTTGTACTCAATCCATCACAGAATTGTGCCGCACACTCCTGTATGGCGGTTATTGGTTAGAAGATCAGCTGCAACGACAAGGACAACCTAATGGGAAGAACTTAGAAAATCCAGCCATCGCCAGCTGTAACGTCCGTCGCTATTGGAGACACTAATAAGTTTCGTCTGACCCGTTTTTTCCTCCTGTTTTTTAGCTCAGACGGAGAAAAATCAGGCTCTATTCAGATTTATTAGACGATGCATAAAAACACTTGTACGTTTTGAAAAATACTCTCATATCCGGAACTTCAACAACGCGACCACGCTCACTCTATTTCAACTTAGCCAAAGCCCCCATTCCTTACGAGTTTTGTAGACATAGAAAACTTTCCTATGAATTTATTTGATGCTGTTCAAAAATTCGCATATCTGCCCTAGTTAAGCAGCCAGCCTACCCTTTGCGTATATCATTTCTTTGCGGGAATGTTTTCAAGGTAGTTCGACTTTTGGGACATCACCAAATTAGACCCTGATCACATTTACTCAGGTATTTGAATGGTGCTCCACCTTAACAATAACCCGATGTTGGAATATATGTTTGTTTTGGCCGTACAGGTAAGCGAGACAGCAAATAGCAGTAATAGGCAGGGCTTGATGGTCCCATGCAGACGATACTCTATTATGGGTGGCTTTCGCAGAAAGCAAAATGCAGCTGCGAGTTTTACCCTTTAGCCCATCCTTCTTTCTGCGTATTTAGAGTTGACCAAGTCAACGAGGCCGGTGCTACTTTTCATGATGTGCTAATACTCCAGTCTACATCAATTCAGAGGGCTGTGGTGGAGTAGAGGGAAGAGAAGAGAAGAAACCAGAGTCTGGAGTTCCTGGACAGAATTGAACCAATTTGGTCCCTTATTAAAGGGGAAATGTCAAAGAGAATCTCTTCGCCTTTAGTCACTTGAATGAAAGGGTTGTTGTCTTTATGCCGTTACTGAGTCATGCCGTACTTTCCTTGATGTCCATCATTCAGCTTCAGAAGATCAGCTCTAATGACAAGGAAAACCCAGTTGGAAACATGTGATATCCGAACATCATCAGCTCGAACTTTCGTCGCCGTTGGTGATACTAATTAGTTTTACATAACCGTTTGTTTTTCTCCTTGTTGACTTGCTCAGATAGCGAGAAATCAGATCCTATTCAGATTCCACATATTTCGTAAAAACAGTTCCTGTTAGTTCCAAAAATCAAATTCAAGAAAAAGTTCAAACCAAGATTTCACCGACGACATGGTTCATTGGCTTTCTCCCTCTTTGCCTATACCTAAGGTTGTTCGACTTCTAGAACTCCAACTACATATTCAGAATCCAGATCCATCTTGTTGTTTGAATCGGAAGGTCATGTTAGTATTCTGCTCTCCCAGATGAAGATACCAGCAACTACCCGCAGGGACAAGTTGAGTCGGCAAAATTCCATCCAGGGATACTCAACCAATCCATATAATGGCAGCTGTGAATTTTGCCTTTGTAGACCCCCCCCCGTTGATTAGGTCCCTGCTTTATTTTTATGGGCAATTTACCATTCTAATTACCAACTTTTCTTATTTTATCAGTTTTCCCAATACTCCAACTTACATCACTATAAAGTGCAGAGTGATGAGTTGTGTATCGTGCCAAGTGAAACACACGCGTCGTTCAATGATCGAATCCTGCTCGTTTCCTAGACCGACCAAACCTTCCATATTTCGGGTAATCGGTATCAATTCTTCAGGGAAGACAAAAGCTTAGACTTGAACATCGCCTCGTCATAGCAAGACATTGTATAGGAATACTCACTCATGCAGAAATGCCACTTCGATTCTGAATATAATTTGAATGTATGGGCGCATCCCAGAAATAGGAATGATTCACGTCAGAAGCCTCAACATGGCTGGCTAGCTGTTCTGGGAATGTTTTAAAGACTTTGAAGTTTTCAAGAAGCAAACCTTTAGCTCATTTCAGTTCAAGCGTTAAAGTCCGTTCCAGATCTCATTATTAGTCTTTTCTTAAATTCTACCGTATCC